TTAAGAGGATGCGTATATAAGAACTTGGAGACTAAAGGAGAGAAGAGTAAAAGGTTGTTCTAAAATTCAAACTTGTTTAATTAAGTGGATAATATTATTAACACAAGAAGGAAGAACTAGTAGAACATCTACGTTTACAAGAGTAATGCATTTCTAAAGCCAGCAAAGACTAAGAAACTGGGCATATATGCAGAGAAAACCATAATTCAAAAAGACACATGCACCCCAATGTTCATTGCAGCAGTATTTACAGTAGCCAGGTTATGGAAGCAATTTAAATGCCCATCGACAGACAAATGGATAAAGAAGATGTGGTACATATATGCAATGGAATATTCCTCAGCCATAAAAAGGAATGAAATTGGGTCATTTGTAGAGACGTGAGTGGACCTAGAGACTGTCATACAGAGTGAAGTAAGTCAGAAGGAGAAAAACAAATATCATATATTAACGCATATATGTGGAATCTAGAAAAATGGTACAGATGAACCCATTTTCAAGGCAGAAATAGAGACACAGATGTAGAGAATAAACGAATGGACATCAAGTGGGGAATGCCGGGCAGGAGGGTGGTGGGATGAATTGGGAGATTGGGATTGACATATATACACTAATATGTATGAAATAGATAACCAATAAAAACAAATCATATCTCATGTAAAAAAAAAAGACTAAGAAATGAAATAGAAGAAAAAAACAAGAGGCTTCATCTACTCCAAAATTATCATTTAAAGATAGCATGAAAGTGCTCATAAAGGAAAGCAACTTGATTCGCTGATAAGGAAGCTTAATGCCCAGTTTAACTAGATTTCAGTATAAGTATATGAATACAGTTAAATAGGAGACCGAGACTTAACAATAGAAATGGTGAACACAGTGACTTTGATTCAGGACGTAGAAGGGAGCCTCATTCTTCACTGCAGTCAGAATGAAGGTGGTGAAATAGATTCTAAAGATTATATTGAATCAGTATATGAAAGGCTTTGTTTGAGGGTGTCTCTCTGTATCAGTTTTTTGCACTTGTTCTCTTACAAACTGAACAGCTGTGAGGCTGCTGTGACCTCAGTCAAAGAGGAAACTGTGATGCAGACTCAGAAAACTTCAAGGTGATTACACAATCATTGGGTTGTCCAGAGGAGTGAGTCTCTAATGTGGTTTCACATAGCCCTGAGCCAAGGCTGGCAGTTGCTGTAAACTGCCCTAGGACCTTAAAGTTCATGGGTGTTTTGGATAGAGATTTGGGGAGCCATGTGCATGGAGTAAGACTGCCCTTCAGCTGTCCTTCACACTGTTATGTAGGGTTGAAGGGATAACTTTCTTAACACACAGGTTAAGGGCACCCTTCGGTAGGCCTTCACTATGGTGGCAAAGATAAGTTTTATGAGCCCTAAGGAAGACAGTAACCCTCCTCCCTACCTCGTCACCTTCGTCAACACAAGTTAGGGAACATGCTTGCCATCTTTCAGCCTCCATTTCTCCAGTGACAGCCCTGTGTGCTCAGTATGTGACTGCTCCCCTGCTGGCTTCCATGCTATATCATCTGAAATCAAGAGGAATGCCAGGAGTCCTGTGTATCCGTGTCTGCATCTTCCCTTTATCAACTGTCAAGCCCAGAACTCTGTATTCCCCTGAAAAATTCCTTCCTCCGCCCCTACCACAACACTCACAGCTTCACCGCTATCTCTCTAAGGATGGTAAAGACCAATTCCCATTGTGCCTTTGATCCCCATTCATGTCAGCCCTCACCAGAAACCCTGGCCTCACGATTCATTCCTAATTTCTGGGATTCTCATCAAATGTATCTCTATATGTCCTTTGTCCTGACTAGTCTTCTACCTCTCCTCAATTCCAAAATTTTCTGGAATTTGGTCATTCATTACTAAAAGTGTCTTTATCTGCAGCCTATTCTCTGAAAATTCCTTTACTGTCTAATCAAAACTTAGCTCTTTGCTGAGGAAGCATACTTCCCATCCTCATCGAGCAGTGCATTTTTCTGTCTCAGTTCCCTTGTATGAGGTAATTAGCCTCTCGATTGCTGCTTCAAGACTGTATGCATCATCTAATGCTGTTTCAGAAATCACCACAAAACTGAATGGCTTAGAGACAGAATAAATTTTATTATCTCTTACAGTTTCTATAGGTCAACAATTTGAGAGTAACTTTGACATGGATTTCTTAGATTTTTTTTTTCCTGGAAATAATATACCCCTTCCATTGTAATATATTTTCCAGAAATACTCTTCCCATTTCAATCTAATGATAAGTTATAATTTTTCTCAGTCAGTTCTTTTAGATTATTATTGGCAGAGGAAATTTCTACTGTTTTCAGACAAGTAGACCTGCTTTTTTCCTGGCAACATAAGGTGAATTGCAGAGCAATGATGGCACACTAATTATACTTTTCATTACAAATGCATTGCTTGTTTCTTAAGTGGGATTCTTTTCATGTTCTGTAGTAAGTTGACTTTCATCTCTTCTTTTCCCCTAGTAGAAGTTTATTTTGTAGGTATTTGGTTGGGATATTATAAGTTGAGAAATTGCTGGCTAATCATTTTAAATGGTAAAATGTTCTGGTATTATGTTTTTGGAGATAAACTGTATCCTGTTGGAAGCACTTTGTTTGTTTGTTTTTCATTGTCTTCCCCTAATATTTACATGGCTTGCTTCCTCGTTTAAATGTCTGCTCAAATATCACATCCTCAAAGAAGACTTCTGTATTAATTAGGGCAGAAGTATTCAACCAGTGTGCTGTGGATGCTATATGGGAGTTCCCGGGATACTGCTTCCTTCATCCCATGGGTTTTGCCTCAACACAGTTATCTGTTTATTCCACTGTGATGTACAAAATTTGCCATTTTCCCAGAGGGCTAAGCTACAAAAAAAGTTTGGGAAGCATTAAGATAAAGATTTAGGTGCAAAATGGGTTCAAACCCAAAGTAACAGTGACTTCAACAAGACAGATGGATATTTCTGTTTCAGTCCAGAGGTAGACAGAGTTAGTAAGGGAGGTCTGCACCAAAAAGCCTTCCAAGAACCCAGAATCCTTCTATTTTGTTGCTCCACCGTCTGCTTGCCAACATGAACACATTCGAGGGATGAAGTAGGGTGGAAAGTGTGGGGGAAAGATCATGCCCGCCCCCCACTCCTCTTTGAGCATTTGCACACATCATTTCTGCCCTCATCCAGTTAGCCAAAACTTACCCTCTAGCTATCCTAGTGACTGCATGGGAGTCTGGGAATTGCAGCCTTTAACCCGAGCAGCTGAATAGCCAGGTAAAAATTGAGTGCTGTTACTACAAGGAAGAAGGAGAGAACAGATGGGGGAAGGGAAAGAACTAGCTGTTTTATTGGTTAGCACTTTTCCTAACACTCTCAATAAAAGACCACAACCCCATTTCTCTAGCCCCTTACCCTTTACAGTAAAGTTTAGATATTTCTTTCTTCAGTTGTAAGAAAAAAATTGAAGTACTTAGAGTAGCCCTTTGATTTAGCAATAATCATGTTTCAGTTAAATCATAAAGCCTTCAGTAAAACTCAAACTGCTGTTTCAAGGCATCTTGGAAATTGACAGAGAAGTAGTCCAGGGTCCCTAGTTACTGGATAGGCTTCAAGGGCTCCATGATTCCTGGGCACTTGTAAAGTGAAATTGTTTATATAGCCTGGTGGTTAAGAGCATGGCCCCTGGTGTCAGACTGCCTGGGTTTAAATTCCAACTCTGCCATGTGCTAGATTTGCAGCTTAGGCAGTTTTCTTAACCTCCCTGTGCTCACTTTCTCTATCTGAAACATGAGAATAATAGTATACCTATTTCACAGAATTGCTGTGGGGACTAGTTAATACATTTAACGCTCTTAGCATTTAAAGCTAGTTATTACATTTAAAGCACTTACAATAGTGCCTAACAATATTAAGTGCTGTATAAATACTAGCATTATTATTATTTATATTCCTAGGGCAGGGTCAGTATCTTCCATCTGAGTATCAATAACGTCTATTGTAAATATTACTTTAATACCTGAAAGAAATCACTATCACAGACTTATGATCTGCATGAAATTTAAATTTTCTCTATTTTAATAAAAAATCATTTGACCTTTCATAACATGGAAGTTTATTTAGTGGAATCTACCTCAACAGTATTTTCTTTTAAAGCATTTTCTTGTTTTCTAGTTCTGTTTTACTTAACCTAATAGAAAATTTATATTCATCTCAGTTTTCTTTTAATTGCCACAGTTTTGATAGGCTTCAGCTTTTCTAGACTTTAACTTAAAATAGAAATGTTTTTTTTCCTTTTGAGAAACCCTGTGCAGTTAATAGTTGTACATAAGGGGCTTACACATCTGCAAGTTGCACGTGTAACTCTGTTAGTGAGCTGGGCAGCAGATACCTGTGATTAAGCAGAAAATGTTGATTTTTTTGTTGTTACTCAAACCATAAATGCAGTTGAGCCAAACTGAATCACAGTTGAAAATCTTACAGCCTGTCAAGGGAGTGAAAAAATAAGAGCCTATACAGCTGTTCATTTTCTGGAAAGTGAACATCGTGGCTGGAAAAAAAACTGGTGCTTCAACATTTTTAGGAATGAATTAATATTGTTCTATAATAAATTGCCAAATGTCACATTTAATAAACCATTTTATTAGAAAGTCGGGTCAGCAGTAAATGCCCAGTATCTCATTACTTATCTTCTGTAGTTACACTGAACATGCAAAGTATTTCCATTTTAAATTGCTTTTGCTAAATATTTGAGAAATAATTTTGGCAAATTGGTTGGTATCAGACCTGGAGCTTAAATACAAAACAGCTGTTGTTGAGAAAATACCATTTTTATAACATTAATATGCTTTTAATTAACATACTGGAATGAACTGTTAAACATTACCACTTACATGTTTAACTACTGTTTGACTTTCAAATGACTGATTTGCTTTCTCAATAGATTATTTACTTTAACTAAAAGAGGAAGAATTTTATTTAAATAATCCATATTTTTCTTCCAGCTGCAGAATGTACCCAAGAAAAGTGGGGATTTCCAATGTGCCACTATTTAAAGGAAGAGAGATGGTGCTGTGGCCGGAATGCCAGAATGTCAGCATGTTTGGTATGACTGGTTTTTTTTCCTGGACTTAGAGTTTTATCCAGATGTTGCAGAATTTTATTTATTTATTTTCGGCTTCATTAAATGCCAAATTTTGCAGAGTGTCATAATTAATGTTTTTGTGCATTGCAAATTATGAGGAAAAAAATGACTTACCCTTCCAACATTACTCACTCTGCATGCAGTGTGATAACAATTTATAATTATACTATAATTCTACATTATAGTACTTAATTTCTTACATATAATTACTTTAATTATCATATAAAATGTACCAACAACCAAGTCTTAAACACAGAATTACTGTAGTGCTTTATCCACAGCTCTGTGGTATGTTTGTGTTTGTTTGTAGCAGATCATTTGGCCTCCTAATTTTTTATAAAATGGGAAAAATATTATTAAGCTACCTGGGATATGAAGTAACTATCTAGTTAAGTGAAATCTTTATTTAGCTCGTGTCCTTAGACCTAGAACACTTTAGCCCACAGTCTTCTCTGTTTGTGGTGTTATGTTGGTTTAAAAAGGAACAGATGCCAGTTAAATGGTATAAGTGGACTTTGTCATCATAAATTTAAAATATAGCTTTTAAAATAATGTGTTTAATGCCCAATCCCAAGATAAATTAACTATTTTGTAGTCATTATCTCAATATTTTTTATATTGCCAGTAACACAGCAATATAAAAAAGTGTTCCAGTGTTCTGGGTCACATATCTGAGAATTAACTTCGAAATCTTATTTATGCTCAAATAATGATTTCCTTTTGTGAGTCCTCTTAAAATACTTTTCTGGGAATTTGCCTTTCTTTCATTATATTTGTAAATGATACTCATTTAGGGTCTTGTTAGAATGGGAGGTCATTCTTGGAATGACTTGGTCCCCAGAATGCTGGCAGCTTATACCCTCTAGGCAGGAAACTGAAATAGTCTTTTATAGGGAATCTGATTAGCCTAAGAGAAAAGACTAAAGATATTGGCATTAGGGATTTCACAATGAAATAGGACCTTTGTGGTGAGATCCACAATTAAAAGTCCTTACTCATAAGCACAGTGCTTCTAATCAAGTTTATGATTACCGCATTTTAATTATCAAAAAGCCAAGAATCATTAGTTGTCTAAGAAAGTCTAACATGAAAGAAAAGAGATCAGATAAACAAATAGAAGAGTAGCAACTTGGAGGAAATGGATACTATCCAAAGTAAAATAAAATAACTATTAGTATCCCTTAGAAAAATAAAATGATATAATATATCCACAAAATAAAAATGTTTGCTATAAAAATAAACATTCAACAAACCAAAAAGAAGAGTTTTTGAAAAATAAATTCCAGAATGTAGAATTTGTCAACCGTGCCGCACTTAAGAACTTTGCCTGACCAATGTCAGCTTCTCATGGAATGCCCCTCTCCTAAACTCTATCCCTGTCTTTGCTCACCTTGACTTCTTTTTTTGATGCTAATCTAGGAAAGTCTAAGGAACATATTTCTTTTGGTGCATCTTGTTTTATTGCCTTTTGCTCCATAACTGACCTTTTCTACAAATATTCAAAACTTAAGGGGTTGAGAGAGAGACAGACAGACAGAGAGAGAGAGAGAGAGAGAGAAGTATACCTTTCTGGTGACACTTTCAGATAAATTGTTAAGGGTACTAACCAGAGGGGAAAATTTAATTACATTAGTGCAATCTTGTCAGTATACTTTTAGCCTGATAAAACTGTAAAATATTTTAGATTAGTATGAAATGAATATTTGGTATATTTAGTGGCCAAGAAAAATTATTAATGTTTGTAAGAAACTGCTTATCACCTACCTGATTATCTTTTATTATGTAATCAGAATTTATCATTGGTATTTCTAAAACACACACATCAGCAACACATACCAAAAGTAGTCCTGAGTTATATGAGATTTTTATTGATGCCAAATCATTTATTATTAAAAACTTTTGTATCTTTATTATTGATAGTTTGGCCTTTTAGCAAAGCAAGTAACACAAAAATTTAATCTGAAATGAACACAACCAGTACTGTAAATGAAAACTCAGTGTTTTCTTCAATAACATACTTGTTCTGGGCCTGTTGTTACTTAATTTAATACAAAAATTGTATAATAACTATCTTCTGTATTCATAACACTCTGGTTCTTGATGTAAATGAAGGTATCCTTGAAGTCAATGGAAAAATTACATTTTTTTTCCTTCAAAAAATTTCTTTAAAGCAAGCTTTTATACCATGAACTCATTTTCCCACTAACTCTTCATGGTGTGAGGGCATGAGAAGTAAACCGGGGTTCAGAAAACAAGTTTTTAGTTCCTATTCACCTGCTAACTAGCTGTGCAGCTTGTGTCAAGACCCTGCCATTGTCAGTGACCTCGTGCATCTGAGAAAATTGCACTTGGGATAATCTGCACATTTTCTTTCAGTTTTAAAAGTACACGATTCAGCTGTATCTAAAAAGTATTATTTATGAAGACATAGCCATCTGAAGCAAATATGAGTACTTTAAATTTGTGTAGGAAGTATATGCACTGTTACATTTTTCTTGTAATGTAAAAACATTACATGTTTTTCTTTATGTTTGAAATATTTTCTAACGAAAACCTTAAAAATAAAATCTTAGCTAAAATGTTATATCTAATTTAGTTATAAAACAACGTAAGTGTAGAAATGCATGTCTAAAAAGTTGAAAGTTTCAGAAGGCCCTATTCCATTTTTAAATTATAATAAATCCTTTCATGTATGTTAGATTATGAGTATTTTTGAGAAATATTGGGAAAATTTTATAAAATATTGGGAAAATTTTATAAATATTGGGAAAATTTTATAATTTTTTTTATAAAAGTGTTTTGAATTTTAAATAAATATCAGTGTAAAAGCAGCTACATATAAAATTGCAAAAATATGTATTACTTTCTCTTATGGTGACTTGATCATATGTGAATTTGATTTGAATTTGACCATGCAGACCAAAAATATATGTACTTTTCTAAACTAAGATTTCAACTATAATCAGTTCAATATAATCTTGTTTAATAAAAGATGAAATTATACGTTTATAAAAAATTGGAAGAAAATAAGTTAAAAAGTAGTACGTATATAAATATGTTTATGTATGTCTATACATAATAATAGTTTTGGATTTATTTGATTGTTTTAGCTGCAATAAAAGTGAGCCAAGAATATGTCATTTTATTTCTTTCCTGTTTTCTAATTCCTTCTAAAATTCAAGGAGTGTATACAGTTGGGGTGTGTATGTGTTTGTGTGCATGACACACATCCATATATCAGCCCTAAATTATACAAGTGTACCAGTTAACATTCCTTAATGTTATTAACACTTTTAAGTGTATAAACTTATATGTTATCATTTAATTAATCTTTTTAAATGTCACTTTTACAAGCCCTTATACAGTGTGTTTATAAGTCTTATAAGACAAGACTAAATATATCAGCTGTCTTTGTCTTATTTTTTTCTCCTTAAAGGCACTGGAGCGCGTTGCAGTCGGCCAAGGGGTAAGTGAGCGTTTTTACTCTAATCCAACTGATGAATGTGATAGTTTTTCTCAAAGTACTCTTCATACTTGACCTGCTGATGAACCTAAAACCTGATGGATTTTTATAAGTATCACCTGTTCTTGTCACCTATTCATATTCAAACTTATACATTTTCTGTAAGTTTACTTTAAAAGAGAATTTACTTTAAAAGAGAATTCTCAGGAAAAGTAAATTGAACTTTTAGGAAAACTTCCACATTATACTCTTGTACTAATGTCTCATTTATTCATACTATATTAAACAGTCTATAAATATTTCTAAAGAATGTTATTGCTGACTGTCAGCCTTTTATGGGCTTAGTTCAAGCAAAGATAAACAAGGTATAGCATTCAATTTATTTTTTAACTATAGTCCAAACCACACATTTTAGTTGGTTGCTTTTTAACTTTCTTCTTTATTGACTTCATTAGTCATTAGTTGCAAAAAACAAATGGGTTTTTACATATAAACAGATGTTAAATGTATCCTTCACATATTCATGTAATTGCCTTTTCCTCTACCTTAAGATTTATGAAACATATTAGGAATTTTAAAGTATTTTTTTAAGAGTTCCTTTTAAATTTTTCACAAAAGTTTTCTTATTGCCCTAAATTTTAGAAATTTCTCTTTTGCTTATTTTCAGGGAGGATTAATATGTCAATTTGAATTTTTAAAAATAATAGTAGCAACAAGTATCATTTACTGAGTGCTTTCTCTGGGCCAGACACAATGCTAAGAATTTTGTGTGTTTTTTTTTTTTAAATACTCATTATACCTATCTGAAAATTGATAAAAACTGATTTTTTAAAGGCATTTGAGCATATTGTTTAAGTGTGTAAGCTTTAGTCTCAGACTGCTGGTTTGCATCAGCAGTCTGCTGGTCTTCATCAGTTACTGGCTTAGTGATCAGAGACACATCATGATTTCTCCATAGCTTAATTTCTTTATCTGTAAAATAAAAAAAATAATAATAGTAAAAAAATAAGAGTAACAATAATACCTTCCTCATAGAGTTTTTGTGAGGATTAAATGAGTGAAAGATGTAAAATGCTTAAAACCATGTCTATCACGTAGTAAGTGTTCAATAAATATCAACTGTTGTTACTGTTACAGGTGGTTAATAATTATGATCATGAAAATAATACCTAAGTTTAACACAGAGCTTACCAAAGTACTGTTCAAAGTTTTCTTCATCAATTAAAGTGCTGCATACATGGCCTGTGAGATCGGGACTATTATCCCATGATACACATGAGGAAACTGTTAAGTAGTGAACACTGAGATTTGAGTCTCTTGACTCTGGAGCCCTAGCTCTTAACTACAGTACAGATCAAAATAGTGGTTCCTTTGGGGTCTGGAAGAGGAAAGAGCCTTAATCATAATAGTGCCCCAATGCATTTGTGCTCTGTTTTTCAATTTCCCAAGGGCTTGTTCATGTTTACAGTCAATCTTATGAGTTGGGTATTCCCCAGACTTACATGAGAACATGATATACAGCAGAAGTTTAGTAGTGCATTCTAGCTCAGTTAATTGCAGTGTTCTTTTAGCTTAGTGCCCTTTCCACTAGACCTGTAAAATGCATGTCTAATATATATATACACACAGACACACACACACACACACATATATATATATATATATATATATATATATATATATATATATACACTTTAAGGGTGTACTCTTTCTGCTCCCTCCCATTTTAAAATGCATTAAACTGTTAAGTTGATTTATCACTTGTGAAGGAAAGAAAGTAAACTCTGAGCCACATCTAGCTTATTCCTGGAGTAGTCAGGCACAGGCTGCTCGGGAGATGTTGACTTCCTTCCCACTTACCCCCATCTGTATTTATCAGGATGGATAGTCCTAGTTATTCCAGGAATGCACATTCGAAGGCACTTCATAACTCTCCTTTCTCTTAGGAAACAGCTGTAAAGCTCTTATTTACTCAGGGTAACTTGGGAAATGATGATTTATTCTATCCTGCTTGTGTTCCTCTGTGCATTCCATTTTTGTATGTTCTCTTGCTTAAAATACATTTCTTGGTCTTTTTTGGTGGCCTTTCTACAATCAGTTTTTTGTTTTTTTGTTTTTTGTTTTTTGTGGTACACGGGCCTCTCACCGTTGTGGCCTCTCCCGTTGCGGAGCACAGGCTCCGGACGCGCAGGCTCAGCGGCCATGGCTCACAGGCCCAGCCGCTCCGCGGCATGTGAGATCTTCCTGGACCGGGGCATGAACCCGTGTCCCCTGCATCAGCAGGCGGACTCTCAACCACTGCGCCACCAGGGAAGCCCTACAATCAGTTTATAATAACAATATAAATGTACATTTATTTCTAAATTATTTGGATACCATTTTACATAATTTTTCTAAAAGACATGGGAAAGGAGAGCTTTATTTTTAAGAGTTTCTTTGCTTTCCTAAATGAAAGTATATAATAAAAAAATGAATGACACCCTATCCCTGCCAAAGTGTCAGAGAGGCAAAATAGCATCATGACTTGGTACTACTGGGACATCAGAGCTAGGCTTCTTCAGTTCAAATAACAGCTCGACTATTTTTAGGAGTTTCATATAAAATTTACATAAAAAGGAAATTCCTCACAGGGAGATCAGCTCAGTGCTTTGTGATGGGGGTGGGATAGGGAGGGTGGGAGGGAGGGAGACGCAAGAGGGAAGAGATATGGGGACATATGTATATGTATAACTGATACACTTTGTTATAAAGCAGAAACTAAGACACCATTGTAAAGCAATTATATTCCAATAAAGATGTTAAAAATAAATAAAAATCCTACCTATTATAGCTAATCAACTAAAAAGTTAAGAACTTTGTAAGCCATTTATAATACTAATATTTCACTTCATGTAATAGTTTATTTCCCAAAATGCCTTGTATTTCAGTAGAACAGTATAAGAGTAGGTGTTAATATATGAAAAGGGATTTCACCATTTTTGTGAGAGAACTGAAAGGATTTGGGGAAAGTGGGGAGCAGATGATAGAGATCTGGGGCACTGAAGAAAAAAATTACTCAAGATGAAAAAACATCAAATGGAAAATATATCCAGAGAGAGGAAATTCTTAATGAAATATTTGGAGAAATCTTCAAGAAAGGAAAGTTTAGAAATCAGATTTTGTCTCAAGTCAAGAATTTGTATTTGGAAAGAGATTTTACATAAGGAGCGTGCCTTTTGAAGGTTATAAATTTTAGTGTGAGCACTCAAGCATGTATTTGTGTCTGCTTTCATTGAGTTATTTTAGGAGTTGAGTTGGAGACTGTGGTATCCCTAACACCGTTTCCTACTGTAATCACCCTCCTCACCGTTGTCAACATCCAGAGAGGATATAACTTGTGTTGTTCAAAGTGCTCTGTCAAGACCCTACAAGTCAGACATTCTCCAGTGACTTAAGAAGGCAATGCCGTCGGGTGAAGACCCAGGAAAATAATGCTTGACCCTCGACTCCCAACTTGTGGTTTTTTGTAGTCTCAGCACCTGGGGCCCATAGTGTAGGAACTTGATGATAGATGGGGGAATGGGACAGTAGAGTAGGTTTTCTGCCTGAGCACACAGGCAAAATTTTATTTTCTGTTAAACTCCACCTGAATCCAGATGTGTTCTCATTGAAAACAAATGAAGATAACAATTTGGGCTCAGAAGGAGAATAGAAGTTACAAAAGGATAACTCAGTGAAGTACACATTCCACTGAACTCTATCTTTAAAACATTACCCATAGTTGGAGAGTTTTTAGTTTTTAGCTTACTTGACTTCTCAGAAGCATTCAGTATTGCCAGCCTCCCTCCATATTTGCTCATTTTTCCTTTTTTTTTTCAATAATAACTTTGCATGGAAGCAAGGTGGTTGTTGCTGATATCTCTGTTGGATGGGGATGTGGATGGAGTTTTGGCAACTTTTTGTATTTTCTTAGTTTAAGGGTACCTCTTACATTGCTACAGTGAAGCACTCTTTCTTTTATGTATAGTACTTTTTTACCTTCTACTTTGAAACTCTTATGCGTCATTAGGGACCTTCTCTTCAGCCATTCCTTTATTCCTACCTTTGCACCTTCACAGACACTTCCCGCCTCTTTTTCCCCAGGAAATGAAGTCCTGCTGAGACTTCAGTCTCTGATCTCATGCCCTTTCCAAGGCCCTTCTTTTCAACTCTGTAGTAGCAATGCTGTGATCTTTTAGGCCTCAGACATATTTTAGTATGTCCTTACTTAGGGTAGTACCTTCTCTCTCTGGCTGTGAATCCTTGGTAATATCTCTAATCCACTACCATTAGGAAAGATGCACATTCTTATCTCTTTTGCACACATCCTACATGTCTGCTCTCTTACACAGGACTGACTTGGTTGGTCATGAAGTTTATTTCTACGTTTTTAACTGATAAACACTCCATTTGGGTCATTAGCTAATTTTTCTTTGATTATTCCTTTTCTTCCTCATCCACTACTACTTCTTTCATAGTTTCTTCTATTTTCTCAATGAGAACTAGCCTCCAAGTACACTGTAACTTAGAATAGAAAAGTTATAAAATTATCCCCTATGTTTAGCAACAAACTCAGGTTTCTAACATTCACTTATGGTTCTGACTCTCAAGTATTGATTTGATTTCTCTTTTTTATTTGTTTCTTGTGCTCATATATATCTGCATTTTTTTCAGCTGCCTACTGAATCACTCTTCTATCGTGCCGTACTTCAGGATATTATTAAAGATTGTTATGGCATCACCAAATGGTATGATGATTTCATTTCAATAAGAATAACTATCCTGTATTATAAGTGAAGTGACTTTTAGTTTTCAGGTGAATTCATTCAGGGTCACTGTTATTAGTAGAAGAAGCTTTGAATTTGAGCGTGATTTCAGTAAGTAACAAAGAACTATGCAGCAACCGTATCTTAGGTTAATCATTATTAAAGTAAGGGGTTCTAATGATTCCCTTTTGTCCTGAAAGGTTGTTGTGATGATGAAGAAATATATGTAAAATGTACTTCAGAATTTGAGAAGTATTGAAATGTTATATGTAAGTAATTCAGTGAATATAATATTATAATATGAGCAGGGGTTATATTTAAAATATTTCACAACCACTACAGCATAAACACTTAACTAATTAGAACAGATATCAATCTTAAATAGTCAGTGTGGCCATTCATGTCTCTACTGGTAGAATAGTAGCCTTGCATATGTTTTGTTTCTGTTTTCCCCAGATAATGGCTGCCTATACAGAAAGGCAAGGATTAGGAGAATTTTTCATAATATTGGTTTAACAACTGCCATACTCAAGCATACATCCGCAGTCCCTTCAAGTTTCATGAATGTTTCTTTGTACTAGTTATAATTTTAGGATTCTGATTGCCATTTCGTTATAATAGGATTATTCTTCAAACTAAAATAGGGTAGTTTTCAAGTTTCAAAAACAAATCCAAACTTATTAACAGAAATAGAAGCTATTTTCAGATTAGGTATAATTTCTCTAAGAAAAATAGTCTATTTTTTTACTGAAAGAAATTATGACATACAAATATCTACATATACCATTGTTTTTGTTTGTTTTTTTGCGGTACGCGGGCCTCTCACTGTTGTGGCCTCTCCCGTTGCGGAGCACAGGTTCCAGATGCGCAGGCTCAGCAGCATGTGGGATCTTCCCGGACCGGGGCACGAACCCACGTCCCCTGTATCGGCAGGCGGACTCTCAACCACTGCGCCATCAGGGAAGCCCAATATACCATTGATTTTAATTCTCATTTCTATGTAGATAACTCCCAAATCTGTGTCCCTATCTCAATTCTCTTTTCCATATATTCATCTTCAAAATGTCTGAAAGTGAATTTCTCATGGTTCCTTTCTCTAAACTCACCCCAAGATGCTAACCTTGTTGGAAAAAGTCACAAAATTGTGCAAATTCATGTCTACTCAAATATTGACTGCCTGCCTTCCTTTAAGACCTCAAATTTGTTCATTACTGTGTTTGTTGTTCTCTTGATGACCTCTTAAGATCATCTACACCCTTTTCTGAACCTTTCTTCTCACTTAAAAATTCAAACCTCTCCAATCCTCCACATTCCTGCCTGCCTTTATTACTCAGTAGATGTTATTTAAGACTTCTTTGATTCCAGATCTTTATTGAGCTTTCAGCCATATTTGATCATGTAATAATTTTCTCCAAACTCTCGTCCTCATTGTCTTCCATTAAGCTGCATTCCTCTAAGTTTCCTTTTCCTACCTTGAACTCTCATCTGTCTTCTGTAAGCATTTTTCTTCTTATTCATCCCCTTGGTATATCCAGAAATTCTCTAGTGTTTTATATTTAGCTGCTGTCTCTTTATATTTCCTCTTTCTCTTAACAGTTACCCTCACAGCAAATAACTTAAATCATGTATCCAGCTCCTACGTCTTTTTTGAAGTTCAAATCTCTATTTCTCAGTACAGAGCAACAGCTTCTGAACAGCCTCACTTAAGCACCTTAAGCACCTTAAAAATACACCAGATTCAGCCACAGCCAAAAAACAAAGTCAGCTTCCCACCCTTCCTCTTTCTTCTGTCTCTTGACTTCTTTTTGTCTGTCTGTCTTGTCTTTTTGACTTTCTTTTGTCTGTCTCTTGACTTTCTTCTGTCTCTTGACTTCTTTTGTCATTTCTGGGGAATTGCATGGCCATTATCAAGCTTTAGAAATCTTAAAATCATATTTGATTCTTTTCTTTTCTCACCATCAAACCACACATTCTAATTAGTTGCCAAGACTTGCAGGTGTTATATTTTTTAACCCAGTGGTTGTTCATTGTGGGGCAGGCAGCCTATCAGGTTCTGAATGCATAGGATGTAGTGTCCACACAGGAGCCTTCCGTATTCTAGTCAGGATGGCATGTGCAGAAACCAAAGAAAATGATAGAAACCTGCTTCCAGTAACAGCAGACTAAGTAATTAGGGCTAACCCTCCTTCTGAGAAAAACTAAAAATGCTAGAGATGTGTATATATGCAAGTGTGTGGTGTGTGTGTACAAGTATGTGTGTTTGTGTATATGCAAGTATGTGTGTATTTAAATTTGTTTTTAATTGGTTTGAGAACATCAGAGACTATCAAGGAAATTAAAAATTACACAGCAAATATCTAGGAGAAGATGGAAACCAAGAGAAATGAAGCCAGCTTTTAGGGCTTCATTTTCCCCAAGATGCCATTTCTTAACTACGGAAAAGGGGAATTCCCTGGCAGTCCAGCGGTTAGGACTCAGCACTTTCACTGCCCAGGCGCGGGTTCGACCCCTGGCCGGGGAACTAAGATCCCGCAAGCCGCGCGGCTCGGGCCAGCCAAATTTAAAAAAATAAAATAAAACAGCAATAACAACAACAAAAAAGAATGATCAATAGCAGCAATGTTTATAGGAGCAAAAGTCTAGGAATAAAAATTTCATTAATAGGAGAATGGATAAACTGTTGTGGAATACTGTGCCTTAGTGAAAATGTATGAATTACAACTACATGCATCCAAGTGGATGAATGTTGTGAATCTAAACGTTATAGAAAAATTCATATATAATTTGGAAACAAGCACAAACGGTATAATTAATTCAGGAATGTAAATATGTGGTAAACAATCAAGAAAAGCATAAGAATGATAAACACAAGCAATATTCAGTGGTATAGTATCCTATGGGAGGGAGGACAACTGAGTGGACAAAGTGATGAGGTGGGGAAGATGAGGGGCACATAGGAATTTCTAGAGACCATTAATGTTCTATTTCTCAAGTTTGGTGTTGCATATAAGTGCTCATTTTATTGACATTCTTTATACCTTATACATAGTATTTTGTAAATACTTGTTTGTGTTCAGCAGCAGTGAAATTATAATCTCATTTCAGGCTACACCCCAGGGTTAGTTGAACTACATATTATACTCCTAGTATCTGTTGCAGTCACCTCATTATAGTAATAAGGAAAATTAAGATAAAGTGGTTAAAAGCTTGTCTTAAGTCATACAGCCTAAAAGAACCAGAGCTAGGACCAAATTCATAGTCCACAAAAGTCTTCTTTTTAGTTTAAATTCTTTGGGATATTTTTAACATGAGTGGAGTTATAGGTCTCCCCTTGTTAACAAGATTAACTTGATTGGAATCTCTGGCCAGCAAGATTACTAAAGACAGAAAATAAGATCACTGAATTATTTCTTCTGCATTTTGTTTAGCTTTCCTTGCTAATTAAATAAATTATCTTCAAGTGATATACTGTTTCAGACTACTTGAAATATTATTCCGAAAGTTTCTTTAAGTTTAATTGTTTATATAACATAAGATTAGAAGTAAACTTTTTTTTTTCATTTTAACATCTTTATTGGGGTATAATTGCTTTACAATGGTATGTTAGTTTCAGCTTCACAACAAAATGAATCAGTTATACATATACATATGTTCCCATACCTCTTCCCGCTTGCGTCTCCCTCCCTCCCACCCTCCCTATCCCACCCCTCCAGGCGGTCACAAAGCACCGAGCTGATCTCCCTGTGCTATGCAGCTGCTTCCCACTAGCTATCTACCTTACGTTTGGTAGTGTATATATGTCCATGCCTCTCTCTCGCTTTGTCACAGTTTACCCTTCCCCCTCCCCATAGCCTCAAGTCCATTCTCTAGTAAGTCTGTGTGTTTATTCCTGTTTCACCCCTAGGTTTTTCATGACATTTTTTTTCTTAAATTCCATATATATGTGTTAGCATACGGTATTTGTCTCTCTCTTTCTGAGTTACTTCACTCTGTATGACAGACTCTAGGTCTATCCACCTCATTACAAATAGCTCAATTTCGTTTCTTTTTATGGCTGAGTAATATTCCATTGTATATATGTGCCACATCTTCTTTATCCATTCATCCGATGATGGACTCTTAGGTTGTTTCCATCTCCGGGCTATTGTAAATAGAGCTGCAATGAACATTTTGGTACATGACTCTTTTTGAATTATCGTTTTCTCAGGGTATGTGCCCAGTAGTGGGATTGCTGGGTCATATGGTAGTTGTATTTGTAGTTTTTTAAGGAACCTCCATACTGTTCTCCATAGTGGCTGTACCAATTCACGTTCCCACCTGCAGTGCAAGAGTGTTCCCTTTTCTCCACATGCTCTCCAGCATTTATTGTTTCTAGATTTTTTGATGATGGCCATTCTGACTGGTGTGAGATGATATCTCATTGTAGTTTTGATTTGCATTTCTCTAATGATTAATGATGTTGAGCATTCTTTCATGTGTTTGTTGGCAGTCTGTATATCTTCTTTGGGGAAATGTCTATTTAGGTCTTCTGCCCATTTTGGGATTGGGTTGTTGTTTTTCTGTTACTGAGCTGCATGAGCTGCTTGTAAATTTTGGAGATTAATCCTTTGTCAGTTGCTTCATTTGCAAATATTTTCTCCCATTCTGAGGGTTGTCTTTTGGTCTTGTTTATGGTTTCCTTTGCTGTGCAAAAGCTTGTAAGTTTCATTAGGTCCCATTTGTTTATTTTTGTTTTTATTTCCATTTCTCTAGGAGGTGTGTCAAAAAGTATCTTGCTGTGATTTATGTCATAGAGTGTTCTGCCTATGTTTTCCTCTAAGAGTTTGATAGTTTGTGGCCTTACATTTAGGTCTTTAATCCATTTTGAGCTTATTTTTGTGTATGGTGTTAGAGAGTGTTCTAATCTCATACATTTACATGGACCTGTCCAGTTTTCCCAGCACCACTTATTGAAGAGGCTGTCCTTTCTCCACTGTACATTC